GTGTGTGTGTGTGTGTGTGTGTGTGTGTGTGTGTGTGTGTGTTCGTTCGTGTTCTATTTTAAACCAGCGCTGCACCGGCGGCATTCCTCTGATTTTCTGCATTCCTGCGTTCATTCACTGCCAGAGACGCTCAGAGGAAGCAGATGGAGGCTGGTTCAGACCTCCGGGTCTCTGAGGTCCATTACCTGTCTGCTCGGTCCTGGACTCGGTCCTGGACTCGGCAGAACCTGTCCCGAGAACAGAGACGATCCACAAACTCAGAAAGATGCGATCACATCAACACGTAGCACTGGGTGATGTGAACGGTGGTTTTTACCTGATGAAGGTCGTCGCCTCCTGAAACTAAACATCTTCATCGTTCTTTGAACTCATCTTCCTCCTGTTAGAATCTAAGACCACAAAATGTCTGAAATTTAAACGTAAAAACTGTAGAATAAAAGTAAAGAAACCAAAATCAGAAGAAATGTTGAAGCTGTTATTTAGTTTTTATTTTCTTAAAATACTTTGAGCTTTTAGCTATTGTTTTGCTGCTTAAATTGTTAGCTACCATTCAGCTACTTTGAGCTTTTAGCTATTGTTTTGCTACTTTGAGCTTTTAGCTATTGTTTTTCTACTTAAACCGTCAGCTACCGTTCTGCCACTTTGAGCGTTTAGCTATTGTTTTGCTACTTGAACTTTTAGCTACCATTCTGCTACTTTGAGCTTTTAGCTCTTGTGTTGCTACCATAACTTTTAGCTATCATTCTGCTACTTTGAGCTTTTAGCTATTGTTTTGCTACTTAAACTGTTAGCTACCATTCTGCTACTTTGAGCTTCCAGATCTTGTTCTGGTAGCTTCAGCTCATGTTGATCTTTAATAACTCAGTTTCAGTCTTTGTGTCATTTTTTCGTTGTATTCAGTTTTAAATCAAACTGTAGCTACAGCTGTTGTGTTTTAGCTGTTTGTTTTGAAGCTCAGAGCTGAAATAAACGTTCTGAATCCTGATAAAAATGACCCAAACATCCAGTCTTGAAGCTCATGATTCTGATGGGTTCTTTGAAGTCCAGAACACCGTCACACCAGGACCTGTTGAATTTATCTTTAATGTTTTATTTGTGTTTAAATCTTTAAACGTGTCCAGTTGTGTTGTTGTTTCCCAGCAGAGACAAGTGTCCTGGTCTCTGAGTGTCCCTCTGTCTGTCCTCTGTCACCAGATGAAGAGGAAGTTGGACCACGGTCCGGACGGTCGGCCCTTCCCTTCAGGGAAGAAGCACTGCAAAGGCAACGGCTTCCTCAGGTAACTCACTTATTGTATTAAATCATAAAATGATCAGACTTTAATCAGTTTAGATCAAATATTTTAATGTGATTGTTTTACTCAGACCAGTTATCATACTGCAGACATGTTTAACAGACAGGAAGTAGCTTCCAGTTTGTAAACAGGAAGTCGTCACCTCTGCATCTTTGCCCACAGCCCCTCCAGTCTGGCTCAGGCCACGCCCACCACGTTCGGGGACCTGCGGCTGGCCAATGGGCTCTCAGCTCAGCGGCGACGTGTCACCTCCGACTCGCCTCCTTCTGGCCTCCAGGACTGGCTCCTCACCTTTCAGGTGAGTCCTCTCCAGGGTTAATCATTATCTTACCTGCTGCAGACGTCAGTTCAGAGGCAGTTAGCTGATAAACGTCATCGTCTCCACGGGTGAACTCAAGCATAAACAGACTGAACTGGACCAGAACACGAGTTGATCTGGTTCTGGTCCAGTTCTGCTGCCGTGCAGCAGCTGTTTGTGTTGGATTTTAAGGTTTGTTAGTTTGTTTCTGCTTTTCTTCCACTTCCTGCACAAAAACAGAGTTCTGCCCTCGAGCTGCTCTGTTGTAGCTAATGAAAGGAACGAGCCAGGACACACACACACACACACACACACACACACACACACACACACACACACACACACACACACACACACACACACA